CCAAGCTCACGGATGCTCACATGTCGCAATGCTGGAATAATGTTCTGTGCAGCATTATCATAGCGGAATGCTGCGCGTGTGCCCTTGCGCTTAAGCTGGTGCACATCATGCTTTAACAGCTCAGCACACGCAGGGCATGGCTTCCCAACTGGCCTGGCAGCCACAGAGCACAGCACCGCACGAAGGCAGTGTTGCTCACCCACAAAAGCAGGAAGCTTGGCCCCCCGTGCCACCATATCCTGTGTTGGGCGTGCACTGTTAACCTCTCAGACCTTATTATGAACACATTAGGCCTTGTGCGCCTGATGGAACCGCAGCCAAGGCACTCCCCTCCCCTCCGTACCTCAAGTTCACCACATTGACCATGCAAGCAGGCGTCTCCACGACAGGCGGCTGCGATATCTGAGGAGTGAAGGACACCTTGCGGTGCGCAGCCGTAAAGGTGTTCATACGCAGGACCTCGGACACCGGGACAGAGCAGCAAATCTCTGATGAAGGAGCTGCGAGCTGTCGAGGCTGCCACGAAAGACACCGTACGATCGCCGTCGGTGGTTTGGCCTGTGATGTAATTGAGTGACCCGAGGGCTGCCCCGATCGCCCGGGGAGAGCCCGGCTGTGTTCGTTCCGAAGCAGACTGACATTCCGAAGCAGACTGAAGCGACAAACGCTCGTTGAAGCGGATCTCGACTGAGGAAGAACTCGCATCACAGAGGTCTACGTACCTAACTTCACACTGGCTGCTATTGCAAGTCGCGCGTCCGAAGGGAGGAAGGACTGTTATGTTCGAAGGACGGCCACAGCAACAAATTATAATGCTGTGGTTAGAATGGCAGAACGTACAAGGGTGTTCTGTCAAAATGTCCATGGCTGGGACCGTGCACCATTGGTTCAGGTTCATAGCGCAGGAGTTCAGCTGCACATTCCGGCGCCAACATTCCACGTTGGGTGCGCCAAAGCGCTACGATAAACAACTTGATAACATTACATCAAGCCAGACAGTCCAATTGGATTGCTTTTGAGTCGACTTGGACTTCTGCGCAAGAATTGCTCCTATGCACTATAATGTGCAGAGTTAGGTGGAGTTGTGCCACAACAAAACAATAAAGACTGCAAACTTTCTCAGAGTTGTGCATACTGGCTTGGGAATGCGGTGCGGCATGATGCGGCCAGCATCTTCGCGCCTTGCAACTTCAGCTCAGTTTGCATGAATATAACCAATAAAACACCACAGTACTAGAGAAGCAGTTTGTATGAGGAAGTAACATGAGAGCTTAACAACTAACTCCAGGGTGGGCCTCACTTTGAGCCAGGACCCCCAAAGCGGCTTGCTGTTGATAACGTTTTGTTGGCTTAGATGCGACGGAGCGAAGCGACCGGATCGTCTAAGGCTGGTTCTGTGGTGCTGTCGTACAACTGGGTCGCAGTGGCGACTTCATTCTTGCTGCTCTCCTGGTGAAGTCATTATGCCTTCACGCAGAAGAGCATACAGCCTTGTCCAACTAGTCAGCGTGACAGGCTGTACTTGGACCCTCAAACCGGCTTGCTGTTGATAACGTCTTGCATGTTGATACGCCTCCTGCGGACTTGTCCCCCAGTAGGGTCTGCAGATTGCATACAGATTACGTTCGGGTCTTATTCAAGGTGTCCCGTGTCC